CTCGACGTACGAAAACCACGCTCTATAAGTCACTCATCATGCCCGTGCTGGTATATGGCGCAGAAGCATGGACAATGACAACGATGAGGCGGCTCTTGAAGTGTTTGAGAGAAAGATTTTGCGGAAGATTTACGGGCCTTTACGCGTTGGCGACGGCGAGTACCGCAGACGATGTAACGATGAGCTGTATGAGCTTTACAACGATATGGACATAGTGCAGCGAATTAAAATACAGCGGCTCCGCTGGCTTGGTCATGTCGTTCGAATGGACACCGACGCTCCAGTTTCACTTCATTGGCTTCACTTGCCGTTTCCAATTGGCGTCAGTTGGCACAGAGGAGAAACGACTGGCGTGCTTTGCTGAACTCGGCCAAAATCGCTTAGGCGGTTACAGCGCCAAAAAAGAAGAAGAAGAAGTGCCTTTTCCTGCCTTTTTCGCTATTTTATTTTGCCCTTTTTATAGGTTTTTAGGTCCTAAAAATCCGTTCCCTGGTAATGAGCTACAAAACTGCATATGAGCCATTCTTTTTTAGGTCGGACGTATTTCGTAAAAAAAATTATGTCATGTCTCAAATTTGAAGCGAAATCTTGTTTGTTTGTTCTATACATGAAATAAGCTAGCAGGTGTTCAGAAATTGTTTTATTCTTTTTTTTCTTCGGAGATATGATCTGTCAAAGTTTGCATTTTTTCGTGATTATGACTAATCATGTACTTCAAATCGTTATATCTCGGGTTCTGCTGATCGTGGAGACTTCATCTTAACGCCGTTTTAAAGCTAAGAAATAGACTTAACATTTCTATATATAAGATGGTCAAGATTGGCCTAAAGCTAACTTAGCTATTAACAGTTGAACTGTTTGAAGTTGATTTGCATAGTGAAGACAAGTAAATTGAGGATTTAAAATTATGCCATCGTAATCTTTGTTTAATTCTCTATAAAAAACGTTAAAAAATTGGCGATTTTCAAGAACTATTTTTTAAAATATCAACAAGTTTTTTTATTTTTATTTCGAAAATTATGTTAAAATATATTTGGTAAGGTGTTAAACATCGAGTTTCTACAAAAAGTAAAATTTTATTGCGGATTCCGATAGAATACCTATCCAGATATAATATTTGTATGGCAACATTTTTCTTTAAGGCGACAAACCCCTTAGAAATGGGCCTGGCAATTGCAGGACTAAAATTTGCAAAACAGATTTTATTGCGGATTTCGGCAGAATATCGGTTCGTTACCAATATTTCTTCCACAACTTTTCAATCCATATAGATATTCTAGCGAAATCTACAATTAAGTCTAAATTTTTGAACTAGAATATTCTTTGATCGAAAAAGTTGTGGAACAAATGTTGTTAATGAAGCGATATTCTGCCTTAAAGAAAACTCTTGCCATACAAATATAATAAGGCATTCTATCGGAATCTGCAATAAAATTAAATTCTTGCTAAAACTCGATGTTTAACACCTTACTAATTTTACACTTATTTTCGATTCTTCACAATTTTACTAAGACATCGCAATGAAAGGTATTGTTGAGAAGTTTGGTCAGAAAATATTTTCGATCAAGGTTGCCACGCTTCTATGTAATACAAATTTATATTTTGTTAATTTCAATCAGAATTTTTTCTAAGTATACACAGTACATATACGCTTAAGACTTGTACTATGGATTCCAACGTATTTCGGAATGGGGTTGCCACCTAAATTTTAGAGTGAGAAATTTACTTACTAGATATCGAAATCCATTTTTTTTTAAATTCCAAAATATTTTTTTAAAGCTATCCAAATCTTCAAACCTTTAAAAAGTACATGCACTCCGGGCAAAGCTCGGTCAACCTGGTACTAGAGAATTAAACAAGTATTACGATGGCATAAATTTAAGTCCCTAATTTACTGGTCTTCTCTATGCAAATCAACTTCAAAGTTCAAGTGTTAATAGCTAAGTTAGCTTTAGGACAATCTTGACCATATTATATATAGAAACGTTAAGCCCGTTTCCTTGGCTTTAAAACGACGTTAAGATGAAGTTTCTACGATGGGTAGAACCCGAGATATATGGAGTGAAATAACACAAACGGCAATAACGCAAATTTGTGTTATTTCCCAATTAAATGTGAAATAACACAAATTTGCTTTATTTAATTTCTCGTTGAACAATAAGACCAACTTTTAAACTTAACAATTGAGTAGTAAAGCAAAATAGTGCACATAGTGACTACTTATGCTACCCAGTTACATTTGACAAAAATTAGTACATGATCAAGTTAAATGGACGGATTTGTAAGTCTACAATTTTGAAAGTGCCCAGCATCGCGGCGGTCCGCGTTCACGCGCCGCCCCGCGCCGCGTCGCGTTCGACATCTCGCTCGTGCCCGCGTCCTCCGCCCTCCTCCCCTCCATTCGCAATTATGCACTGGTGGCATTACAACCGTTTAGAAAAAAGAATAAAAATAAAATGACACTAGTTCACTTCTGAAACTGCTTTTTAATGTCCAAGTAATGGGAATTAGTGCTTATGGTGTTACTGCATGTACCCCACCCATGATGGAATTAGGTGAAGTAATATTAGAGTGAGAAGAAAAATATTGACACTGCTTTATTTAAAAGTTTGCCTGTAAATTTGACTATAGGGCAGCCGAATGTTAGAAAATAAAGCGAGAAAGCTGTTTTATTACTTCACCTGTTTATTACGCCATTCATCCCACCCGCTTGTACCAAGTTTACGTTCAAATTTAGAAGTCTGAGAGTAGGTAAAATTTTACATATTTTTACAGCACTATGTCGTACCACATGTCTGCTCCGTCTTCGTAAACGAAATCTACAGGTCGGATATAGCAAGTGATGATAATGTAGAAATATTAACTGAAGATAAAACTCAAAACAATATTCTCTGTGTTATACATATGTATGCTGCGAACAGGAACGGCAACTTTTGTTTGATCCATGCCATGGCGGAATTATACCAGGTGAAGTAATTAGAGCGAGAAGAAAGATTTTGACACTGCCTTATATGAAAAATTGCCTTTAAAATTCACTTCCAATTAGTTCACTTCTGAAACTGCTTTTTGATGTCTAAGTAATGGGAATTATTGCGTATGGTGTTATTGCATGCACCCCACCCATGATGGAATTATACTAGGTGAAGTAATATTATAGTGAGAAGAAAAATATTGACACTGCTTTATTTAAAAGTTTGCCTATAAATTTGACTATAAGGCAGCCGTATATCAGAAGATAAAGCGAGAAAGTTGTTTTATTACTTCACCTGTTTATTGCGCCATGGTTCCATGCAAAGATTTTAAGGTTTTCCAGCAATATTTTCAACGTATTAAAAAGCAATTATTAAAGACGACGCTTTCCCCATATTATTTTTTATTTGTATTTTTGGAATAAACAAAGTTCTTTTTCCTTCTGTCAGTAAACTGGTTTGTTACAAATAGTATAAATAAGCAGTGGGAAATAGGCAAACCTTTGTTGGAAATAAAGCAAAACTCAGATTTTGGTATTATTTCCCATTTAAAAGTGAAATAAAGCAAATTTTGCGTTATTGCCGTTTGTGTTATTTTATCCCCCACCCTTAAACAGCCATCCTATTTTCAGGGCAACCATCTCCCCTGACAAAGTTTCAAAGGTCAGAGAATGTGCCTTTTTTGCCTTACAAGAGTGTGACATTTTAATAAACGAACGCAAAACTTTCTCACTCTTTGCCTTTCATTTAAAATCGAACACGAAAAGAGAAAGGGGCAATCAAATGGCGACATTTTTTAGCAGAAACGAAATCACCATTAAAGTTTGTTGAATTTTCATAATTTTTGTACGAAGTTTGAAACGTGGATTTATGTGGTTAGGTGAAGTGCTAAACTTTTATAAAAAATATATAAACATTAAATAAACAAAAGAAAAATAGCCAAAACTAGTGAAGTTACTTGACTCAACTAGTGACTTGACGCTAACTAATAAATTAATATTTTTTTTTAATAACTTTAATAGCAAACAATTTTTTTAAGCAAATATATATTTTCTATTTTTAAAAGAACAAAATCTAAAGTAAACCAATTTAATTATAAAAAATTAAAAAATTTAATTAAAAAAGGAAAAGTTTCGCTGCCCGAGGACTCGAATTTGGATCTTCAGAATGGCAGTCTAGTGCTTTGCTTACTGTGACTGCTGGGGAGGCGTAAGCAAAATGACATATATAAATGTCTATTGTTTCCTTTGCGTAAGCTAATTTCGAATCATCAAAGTGGCAGCATTCGAAGCTGGCAACGATATTTTCGAGTTCACTCGGATTCAGTGAAAGGAATTTTTCCGTATTCGTAGCAGACATTCGAATTCGTAGATTTTCTACGATGGATTCAATGATAGCCCTGATTACTTATTTGAGTACGCACAATACTGTTGTCTGTTTCGAACAAGACGGAACATTCAAATCGTAACCTCGATTTTTACTAACAGGCAGAAATTTCCTTTTTTCCTCAAAATAATAAGTGGCCAAAGTTAACTAAACTTTTTGCTTTTTATTAGAAAATTTATAATCAGTGTGGTCTCTGGAAAATAAGATGCAAACGTTATGTTCTATACTCACTTAAAAGTGTTGCCTCCAAGCCGTTAAGCCAAGCCAAAAGCTCTTCAATTATGTCGTCTAAGTCTTTAAGAGATTGCAAATGCTGTTCTAATTTCGTTCCTCGATTAATAGACCACTGTGAGACTTCATCCCAACGCTGCTGAATAATTGCTAACCAATTTTTTATTATCGGAATAGCATCTGGATATGCTTTGCTAATAACATCTTCAGCGAAACGGAAAGTTTGGGACTTCTGGCGATCCCTATTTTGCAAATCTTTAGAGAAATCATTATGTGATGCAATCATTTCCCGTGTAATTTTTTCATCATCTGGCGCATTTTTCGCATAACGTAACTTCTGTTCTGCGTGATCCAACCAATCAAATAAGGCATGAATTTCTCTATTTAGTTTTTCAGCATCTTTAAGAGCCTCCTGCAACCGTTCGTTTCGCCTTTTTGCTGCTTCTTTTACTTCATCCCAAAGAGTTTGCAGCTCATTAAGTTGTTGGTCTGTTTCTTTATTATCACTGGATGTTGCAAGTTCCCTTCCTGTCTTCAATACACCCTGCATTTGCGCTGCACGCTTTTGTAAATCGTGTTCGATATGCTTATGATGCTCTAATAATCCTTGTACCGTTTCTAAATCGCCATGCACCAAGCCGTTTTCATTCAAGCGATTTTTCGCCTTTTTTAGCCAATCAAGTAACTCAAAAAGAGCGTCTGAAAACTGCCCAGATAACAGCAGTGCTTCTTCCATCTTACGTTGCCGTTCAATGCTTTTCGACCACACGGTTGTCCACTTTTCTTTTAGCTCTGTTAACATTTTGAGGAGAATCGTCTCATCCCCTTTTGGAGCTCGTTCTAACAGATTTTTGCCGGAGCGTATGGTTGAATCATAGCTGGTTTGCTTTATTGTTAATTGTCTGTGTGTATCCTTCACCTTACTTATAAGTTTTTTTATTCTGGCAGGTTCCTTTGATTTAGTGGCATCTTCTATTATTTGTTCAAGCATTTTATCGGTTTCTTCAAGATATTGCATGATGCTATTCCAAGAGTCGTTATATTCACGAGCTTCTTTATAACCATGATCTAAAGCACGAGTGCGTTCTGCAGTTTTGCTCACAATACGTTCCCAGCGATGTTGCACAGAAACTAGAAGATTTTTTATTAAAATGACATCCTGCTTTTGACTAAAATATTTCAAATGAGTTCCCTTTTTATCAAGTAATAGCATGGCCTCACGATGGGTGCTAACATCTTTTTGTAGAATTTTATGTTCTTCCATTTGATCCTGGATAGTTCGTAAAACTCGTGAAACCGGAGGTGCATTTGATAACAGTTTTTCGGCTTGATCGAGCCATTCTACAAAAGCTTGAAGAGTGTCATGGAACTCTGTAGCTTCTTTCAGTGCGATTTCTAATTTAATCTTCTTATCGGAAGCGCGAGAAACAATCGCATCCCATCTTTGTTTAAGTGTACGCAAAGTATGCTGTAAATTACTGGAAGGAACTTTAATATTATTCTGCCGCTTTATATAATCCTGACCTTGGACTTGAATTGTTTCCACCTTTGGGCGGTTCTCCTCTAACTCATTGTATACTTCCATAAATCGTTCCAACTGCTCGGTTGCTGTTTCCGGTAAACCCCCAACAGGTTTACTGGCGCTTATTACGGCATCCACATCACCTAACCAACCAAGAACATCTTGTACCTCCGCAATATATTCTTGTGCTTCATGCAAAGCTTCTTCAAGTTCATGTTGTCGATCAGAAGCGGTTTGCATTAACATTTTCCACTTTGAGTTCAATTTTCGCAATTTGTCCTGGGTAGTAGAAGCCTCTACGGTACCCTTTTCAGTTTCGATAAGCTGGCGTCCAGCATCATTTAAAGTATCCACTGAACTTTGATGTGCTTGAATGTCATTAGCAATAACTTTCAATTTTGCTAATTCTACCTCTAAAAGCTGTGGATCACCAGGTACCTAAAGTCAAAATAAATTTAGTTGAGAATGCCTTAAATACATTCTTTTTCATACGTTACCGCTTTTAATTGATCTAATGTAATGTCTGTTTTATCAATCCATACTAAAAGTTCATTTAGGGCATGTTGGAACTGGCCAAGGTGTAAAAGAGCATGTTCTAATTGTTTTTGGCGTTCTACCATATTACGTAGTAAAGCTTCCCATCGATGATTTGCAACAGATAGTGGTTTTCGAATTGATGCAGCTTGCTCAGGAGATGTCCGATCCGTTAACTCCACGGCTTGCCTATTTGCAATACAAAAGAAGTCAAAACACATTAGAATTTTAGTAGAAATGAAAACCAAGTTTCAAAACTAATAATGTTACGCACATTCATTGGCGCATAACCACGTAATAATATACATATAATAAAATTGTAACAGGCCGATGTCTGTACATAAATAATAGATTCTAAAGAAAAACTAATATGGGGGGTCTTTATTAGAGCAACCAGGGACCGTAAATGTTATGTTTTTTTTTACCTTCCTTTTATTTCAAAAGAGTTAATACATTCTTCTCATACGTTACCGTTTTTAATTGATCTTAAGCAGCCCTGGGCGGCGCCTCCCCGGCGGCCATATTCGCGTATACATACACGCTCTGCTTTAGAAGGCAGCGAAATCATCATTCAACCGCACGACTTTTTCGCACGCACACAGTGAGATCAATTGCACGCACACTACAAAAATTCTCTGTCGAAGCTGCCCACCTCTGATCTAAAGTAATGTTTGTTTTATCAATCCATACTAGAAGTTCATTTAGGCAAAAAAATTTGACTTTTATTTTTTCAGTCAAATATAAAAGTTAGAATATGACTTCTACTTTTTCGTTAAAAAATATTTCTTATTATTTTTTTATATTATTTTTTCAGCCCAAGAAAAAAGTTAAAATGTGACATTTATATTTTGGATCAAAAATAAAAGTTAAAATATCATTGCTAAATATTTTAGGTATTTGATTGCAAGCGTTTAAGTTAAAAACATTTTGTTTGCTTCCTATAATAAAATATTCACGTTGATGACCTAAGTCGATATAGCCGTGCCCGTCTGTCTGTCTGCCTGTTTTTACCCAGATATGCCCATTCGTTGTACATTAGCTTTTCAAAGTGCTTTCTGATTATATTCATCTAAACTTGTGATGAAAAGACAGGGTTTGGTAACGATTTAAAAAAATAAAATAAAAATTTGAAAACATGTATTTTGAAGCTGTCCTATATGCATAGTATATTGGGTACATGACATATTATCAACTTTGTCTGACTTATTTGATGTGATCTGTGACAATAGATTTGACATGTAATTGAGGTTTTCTGATGACAAGCGCCACATCTGGTCCCGATTCTTTGTTGGAACTATGCGTAAACCTTACCTTTTTTATTTTGGGCGAGTTAAGCTGTCGCAATACTTCTCCTGAGAGGTAAAGGCGATGTCAGATAAAACTTTTGCTTCGCGTTGCGTGACAGATTCGCTTCGCCGCAGCGCGAAGCGTAAAGATGGCCAACTCTCATCTTTTTGTGCGCGTTGACAATCAGCCGGTTTAATATTTATTTTGTTTCGTCCAAATTCGAGTTTTCATGCAGAAACATAAAATTTAATTACATTGCTGATATTTTTAAAGCTAAATAAATGAAATCCACAGCCATTTTGAGGAGTAAAAAAGCAGTACAAAATTGTTTTCCTGGCGTTCATTGTGGCATACTTTTTGCTTCTGGCGCTTTGCTGGCAAAGTTATAAATGTCACGCAAAGCCACAAAGTTTTATCTGGCATCAGCTTAAGGGATCCATTGTTCCGGCATTATGTTTATGAGTCTGCCAGTCATTTCGTACAACCATTTCCACACAGTTAGTTATTAGGGGAAAGCACTATTTCTTACCTCACATAGCACTGCGGTAGACTCTAATATTTTGTTCTGAACGATCGAGACCTCCCATGCTCATATTACAATATTTTACCATACGAATTAGCTCTTGTTAGGAGTATCGCTTGTCGAAACTTATGGGATTTACTCCAATGGCATCCGATTCCTTGACAATGGTATGTCATTACCGGAATACCATTGATCATCGAAATCGGTTTCCGAAAAGACTTTAACGCTGCTTTTCGTCTGCGAAATCGGATAATTATTTATACCGACATAATTCTCGTCGACAGAAACCTCGTCGGTAATGTCTGCAGGTGCATTTATTGATGGAAATAATGCAATGCTATAGAAATCTACATTATCATCCTCTAAAAGAGCCAAAGATTCATGCAGAGAAAATCCTCTGTAGGAAATTTGTAGTATATTATATGCCCGATGTCCTACATGTAAAACGTTAATTTTTTTATATTTGAATAAGCAAATTTTTACTTACCGTGCAACGATAGCACCATATACCGAAACTTTGGAAAACTTGCAACTTTGTAAATCAATTACGTAGAAATTTTAGTAAAAAATTACCAGAACGTACTGTCGCCAGCTGGGTATACCGAGCACTAACTAAATGAGTAAAATAAGTGGTTCATGGAAAAACGTTACGTCATGTAAACTCTTGTGTAGGTGTCCTATTTATAGTACATTGGACATATCTGGGTTAACGCAACCTAGTAGTTCAGTTCTAGAGAATCAGACTGAAGTTTGGTATCTGATAATATATTAATCATTTGTCGGAACGGACAAAATATATTCTTGACTAAGAGATGTGACAAGTATTATACATCAAGTGCCAGAAACTCAAGTCAGTGTAGAACGCGCGTTGTCAACACTTAAGCTTGTTCTTAGTGATACGCGAAACAATTTGTCCGAGCAGAACTAGGCAGCTATGTACATCAATTGTTAAACTGAATTCCGAGTCATTGCTGTAAAAAGATGGATAACTTAAGGCTTAAATTAATGTAAATAAATGTTTATCTAGGAAATGTATTTATAGAAGATGGAAAACTGTTATTAAAGAGATATGCATTTTTTACTTTGATATTTTTTTCAATTAAAACATATTGTACTGCTATTTTTGACCGAAAACATAAAAGTAAAATTTTAAATGTTATTTTTTACCGCAAAAATAAAATTCAGATTTTAACTTTCATATTTGACCGAAAAAATAAAACAAAAATTTTAACTTTCATTTTCACTGAAAAAATATAAGTTAAACTTTAACTTTTATTTTTAATTGGAAAAATAAAAGCTAAAATTTAACTGTTATATTTGACTGAAAGAATATGAGTATGAAGTCTAGAAAAAAAGAAGTCTGATGAGGAGATGTGGTGATCTCCGAAATAGTGCTATAACTTCTACCGCTTAGACTTTGTTGCTTTTTCAATTTTTCCTAATTAACAATCGTGGTACAAAGCCCAATAAAAATATTAAAAATAAAATGTTAACAAGCCACAATAACATTGACAAAAAAAATAATGGTTAATTACTGACTTTTTTGAAAAAAAGTAAAGAAAATTTAAATTATAATCATCTGTTTGAAAATTTAGGTTTAAGTATATTGATAAGATAAAGTAATTATTGCAATATGGCTGTCAAAGGAGAGCTTTAAGAAAGCTACATCTGAAAATATTTTTGTTGAAGGTTGCCACCTGTTTGAAAATTTGTATTTAATTTAATTGATAAGATAAATTGAATATTGCAATATGGGTATCAAACTGAACAGTTTTAGGAAAGTTTACTGCCGAAAATATTTTTGACGAGGGTTGCCACCTGTTTGACAAATTGTATTCTATTAAGTTGATCCAAAAAATTCAAAATTACAATACGGGTATCAAAAGGCAAAAAATACATGTAAGGCGCAGTGAAGCACGCCGGGCATTTGCTAGTATTAAATATTTTTATGATTCGCCGAAAGGTTTCTATTTTCTTTTCTAATTTGTTGCTTAAATATGATGTCTAGTGTATGTATAACCAGAAAAGATATTTTTTGGGGGGTCATTAGACCTTCGCCGTTCGTTCTAATTTCAAAAGCCAGGTGTGAATTTAACGCGCTTGGCATGGCGCATGGAGGTTTTGTTGAAGCTAGAACTTTTTTAGTGTTAAAGGGTGATTTGGAATTTGATGCGAGACATCTTTTTACTCAGAAAAAGCTCTACGGATTTAGATGAAATTTAGCAAACGGATCGCTCCTTTAGGTTTCTGAAGAGGGTTTCCACCTTTTTTAAAAAGTTATATTCAAATGAATTCATACGTTAATTAAAATATGTATCACAATATGGGTGGCAAACGAAGGAGGTTTAAGAAGGTTTTAGTTAAAGTTCATAGAGGGTCGTTAACTGTATATGAAAATTTGAATTAAAATAAATTATACACAAGTTATGTGAGGTATTTTAATATCGGTGGCCAAGGAACGGTTCTAAAAAAGCTTTATTTTAACACTATTTTTGATTAGGGTTGCCACCCATGAAAATTTCCCCTATTGTGCGCAATTTCTTGACCAGTCAATTTGTCGTTTAAAAAGCCTCCTAATGGGTAGCTTTGTTAACGTATTTCAGATCTACGACGCAATATATTATACGTGTACCTTAAAAACAATAATATCTCGACAACACCGCCAACTAGAATCTTTAACCTTAAAAAGATAACCACATTCTGACAACCGTCAAAGATAATAATAATAATAGATTGGCGCTTAAACATATGTTAGTGTTTGGCCGAGCTTCTCCTCTGATTTGTGGCGTGCGCCTTGATGTTATCACACAAAGGGGAGGGACCTACAGTTTTACCCCGACTCCTAACGGCAATTGTTTGTCGTAACGGTATTGTTGCTGTTTTTCATAGCAGAAATACACTCGGAAATTTGCCATTGCCTGCCGAGAGCGACCGCTGTTAAGAAAAAACCTTTATTCTATATTTTTTTGCGATGTTGGTTTGACCAGAGCTTGAACCCAAGCCCTGCGGAGTGATAACCACTACACCACAGTGTATTTTATTGATTAATTTCGAAAAAGCTAATATGGACTATATTTTTGCATAAAAATGTAATAAAACTACTGTAATTTTTATAATAATTTAATAAGGGAAAAAGCAAAGACAAAATTACGGTATGTTGGAAGAACGAAAAATATGCCGAAAACGCCTGCGTCCAATAAATGCAGATTATCTTTTCAGGGTTAAATAAGCTCTCAAATTCTAATCGCATACGGATAACGTCTAACATTGCCCCTGGAGGAACTTTCGAGAGTTCTAATGCATCGAGAAGCTGCCACCTGAGTTTTTTTGTTTCCTTTTTGAATAGCACTGGATCACAAGTTTGTGTTTGGTTTTTGTTCTACGGATGCCCCGATCCATTTTTTATGTAGAATCGCCCGCTGATTCCAAAAATCTAGTTAATTTTTTATTCTATGGATACATTTTTGAAATATTTTCAATTTACCGTTATTCAGATTAAAACAAAAGATGGTTCCACTTAGTCACTTATATCTCATGAACCAATTTAACAAACTGAAAACGAAATACGGCAAATGAAAGCTAACAAAAATTTCCACCGTCTATACATCACTTTCCAATAGGACTGATAGTTTCAACAGGAGAAAAATGAAAAAAAACTAACAGTTTCTGCGTAAAATTTTTGCAATTGTGCTAAAGCCAGTTCCGTTACAATTAAATTAAGTTAGTAATGAAGCAAATCGATGAATAAATAAAAAAGTAATGAGTGGTCAAATGAAAATGCGCAGAGTTTTGTTGTATGAAATATGAGCACAAAAGCGTGCTACTTAGTTGTACATGGCGTATGAATAAAATTATTTCCTGCTCATTTTTCAAATAAAAAATCTTTGCGCATTTTCATTTGGTCACCCATTATTTCTTTATTTATCCATCAATTGTCTTCATTTATCCATTGATTGTCTTCATTAGTAACTTGATTTTTCCGTAACAGAACAGGCTTTGGCGCAATTGCAAAAATTTGACACAGAACCTGTTATTTTTTAAATTTATCTTCTGTTAAAGTGTGTTTTTTTTTCATTAAAAAAAATCTGGAATGATTAGCTAATTTGTCAGAAACTTTCAGACCAATCAAATAGTGATGTACATACAGTCTATTTAGAATTTTGTTCGTTTTCATTTGCCCTATTTCATATTAGGGTTGTTAAATTGGTTCCTAGGATATACGTGATTAATTGCAACCATTTTTTGTTTTAAACTGAAAACGGTAAATTGAAAATATCTCGAAAACTTATCCATAGAATAAAAAATTTAGTAAGTTTTTGGAACCAGCGAGCAATTGTTTACAGGAATTGGATAGTGGCATCCATGGAACATTTTTTCTGTAAACCAGTTTAAATAACGACAGTGCTTTCGGATTGCGGGGCGAACTGGTGTATGCGTTAAATACGTTTAAATTAAACAATTGTACATATTAAAACGTGGATTTTTTTTACAGAAATTACCTATTTAATGCTTCCACCTCCAGCATATGTGGGTCAACATCGTCCTTAAATACTCTCAGCTGCTCGATTTGTTTTTTAACTTCACCTATGTCACAGCCAACAGAGCCAAGCACCTCAAAATTGCGTTCGGCTTTGTTCAGAAATTTCTCTAAATTTTGCAAGGTCTCGTGGAATTCCATTGCCTTCTCCATTGCATCAATTAAATTTTCTTCACGCTTTGCATATAAAGCTGTAATACTGTCCCATGCATTATCCAGATCTTCGATATGCTTCTTTACTTCTGGTTTATCCGGTTCGCCACACATATTTATCAAATTGCTGCCATTGCGTCGCACTTGCTCTACTTCTGGTTTAGTCTGATCAATTTTGAAGCGCACCTCCTGTAATGCAACCTGCTGTTTCTGTATTTCCTGGGGCTGGGCAGCAGGAGGTTCTTGTGAGGATAAGGTTTCTTCTAGATCTTTAAGTGTGCCCATTACGCCATTGAGTTGTTCCCAGAATGGTTCAGCCACACTTAGTATATCGTCGAGTGAGCTGCCACGGTTTTTAGTAGCTTTCTGCACGTCGTTCCATAGACTATTTAATTTTTCCAATTTGGATTTAATATCGCGTACAGCCGGATCAGCCTTATTTCCGGCCTTTGCAATGACTTCATCGGCGGCTTTTTTTACAGCCGTAAAAGCATCTGAACGCCTTTCCAAATCGTCTGTTAATGCAGCGTTATCTTCCATTTGCTCTCTTATTTTCTGTGGTAGTGCTGACAGGGGGTCCAGCTGATTCACTTGATCGACAGTATTAGCCAATGCTCGGAGCATGCCTTCTAATTTGTCTGAAAACTGACTCGATTCTTGCAAAGCGTTGTCCAACATTTGTTGCCGTTCGCGTAACTCCAGGCGAAGTGCTTGAAAACGTGCGTTATCAGAATCAAGGAAATCATTTATTTTTGCGCTGTCATCTTCCGATACAAAAGCCGTTAAAGTTTCGCCTGTCTTATTGAGTTTATCTAGCAAAGGCTTATGTTCGGTAATAGAAAGCAAAAGGCGTTCATTCTTATCTTGTTGTGTCGTTATTTGATCTGGGCGCAATACTGGCATACTAAATCTTGAAACTTGTTGTTCCATATCGTCTAACCAACAGGACAAACCGTTATGTGAATCTGCAAAATGTTCCGATAAAGGTAGTGCCTGCTCCAAAATGCCCAAGCGTTCACTGCACAATTGAGCGACGGAATCCACGATTTCTTTTAAGTCTTCTAATTTTTCACGAAGCGAAGCTATAAATTCGCTCTGAGGAGATTCTCTTAAAATTTTTTTTGATGAAACAGCTATGTCACGTACACGCCCCTTCTGACTAGAAATATCATCATTTATTGAACGATGTTCTTGTAATTGTAAGCGAACTAATGTTGGCTCTATTGCAGGTGGATCCGCTTCGCGAAGGGCTGTGTCCATATCTCGGAACCATTCCAGCAATTCATCGATGTCTCCTGTAACCTCTTTGACGCGTTGATTACTTAAGTGAAAACGTTCTGCTTTCCGTTGAATTTGCTCAACAATCGCGTCGAAACGGCGATTATCACGCGTTACTATGTTTTCAATTGATGTTGAACCTTCGCCTGGGGAGATTTGGCATAATTGCGGACCAAATAAATTAATATTATCTATTACAGGGCGCATTTCCACCAATTCCGTTTCTAGGCGTAATAAGTCTGCATGACAAAGCTCACTCGCTGTAAAGGCACCTTCAGCTATTTGCAACCATTCCAACAAACGGTTATGCGAGTTATGGAATTGCTGAACTAACGGAAGAGCATTTTTGGCCCTTTTAAGGAGGTCTCCTCCCCTAGTCGCTAATTCACCATACCGACGTTGAAGTGCATCCAGTTTATCTTTTAATTGTAAGGCCTCATCATTAGAAATGTGTTTCATTAGTTCGGAACCTGAATCAACTGTTGATTCAATGTTTGGAGCCTGACTAGCAATATTTTCATTCAGTTCAACCAAATGATCCATTTGTTCCAGTAGCTTTTCCGAATAAACAGGAATCACTTTAAAGCGTGTCAGCTCCTGGTCCATTCTGTCCATCCAGCCAACCAATTCTTGATACGTTATGACCAAATGCCGTAATCCCTGGCGAGACTCAGCCAAAAGGGAACCAATATTTTCACTGACTTCAACTAAGGTAGTAAATCGATCTGTTATGTTACGCACTTTTTCACCTAATTGTGCGGCCTCATCTTCACCAATTAAGTGCATGAGTTGTCCAGCCACATCTGCCAAAGCCGTAAAATCTATTTTTTTAGATAAAATTTCACCATGTAATTCGTTGTGTTCCTTAATACGATTTTGAATTTTTTCTTCATCTGTTGGAACAAGCTCCATATTTTTGATTGATCGTTCGACACCATCTAGCCACAGCTCAAGGGGAATCACTTTATCATGGAAATCTTTAGCCACTTCCATTGCTGCTTCCAAATCACTTTCTCTCTGTTCGGCACCATTAGTAAGAGAATCGAAACGCCTTACAAGATCATTAAGCTGTCCTTCAATCTGATCTCGTTCTGAAGGCTCGCAGGCATTGGCAACTTCGACACCCATCAAAGATAGAGAAGACATGGAGTTTTGCCTATCCATTAACATTTTTTTCAAAAATTTTTGCTCTTGTAGTTGTGCTTTGACGACCTTGTAATCCGAGCTTGGTGGTTTTTGATTTGCCACCATTTCCTCTGTGTCAAATAACCATTTAGAAAGACCTGACAAGGCTTCCTGGAATCTTCCGGACTGCAAAAGAGCAACATCCAAACGTCGCTCTCGATCATTCATTAATTCTTTTAAGTTATTCCAGTTATCGTTTAGATCTTCTAGATCTTTTTCAATAACGACAGTAGAAACACCACTTCCAGCTGATCTAACTAAGTCACGACCAGCATTGTTTACTTTGACAATGTTCTGTGACAAAGGCTCTACTTTAAGATTTCGAAAATCACGAAAATCTTGCTGCTGTCGACGAATTTGATCAAGTTCCGAACTAACTGGTTTAAAATTATCAAATTCGCGTTTTACGCTTCGTAACTCTCCCAGCACTAGAGCTTTATTATCGAAGTATTCAATCAAAGCTTTTAGAGCACCTTGCAAATTGCGCTCATGATTTCGACTTTGGATATCTAAACGATTAATTGTATTACGTATAGACGATATTTGTGCAGGAATTTGATTTTCGGTGGTTATCCCGGAATCAATCAAAGTGGATGAAGCGCGCTCCATATCATTTACTAAATTCGAAATTTGTTCTAATTTTGAGTTTACACCCGCTGTGTCTTTCAGTTGTGATCTAACTACGTCAACTTCTCGCCCAGGCGGTGACAAATTTTCAATTTCTTGTTCTAACTTATTTAAATCTGATAAAATATATTTTATTTGTTCGTTCAATTTCGATATAGTAGAAGCAGCAAATTGTAACTCATCGAAACGATCACTGAGACGAGCTTTTAGATCAGAGACGCGATCAAACATGCCGTCGACATCGTCGCCTAAATGACCCGCCTCACCCCCAGCTGATTGACTTTCCAAAGATATTGTTTTGGCCATAGCTTTCAATTCATTGAGAGGTTTTTCCAATTTTGTTAATTCGTCTCGTATAGCCTTTACTCGTTCTAAAAGTTTTGGATCTTTTGCTGCTCCTCCTAGTGCATCGTGCGCAGCTAAACGATCTTCGCATCGACTCACTGCATGATCCAAATTTCTAAGGTTATCATTAAAATCAGATAAACGTCGTGAGCAATTTTCGATATCTTGGGTTTTAGTAATTAAATCGTTGTTAAGTTTTTCCCACCTATCCTTGATATCCTTTAGCTCGCATTTGATAGGATCTTGGTCAATATCACAGTAACTTATGAAAGTTTCCCCCAAACCTTTAGTGGTCTCATATTCATTCGTGTGCTTCCAAACTTCACTTCGCATCGTTTGAATGTCACGTATGCGTTTTTCCATGTTCGATTTATACAGTTTTCCAGGTGTTAAGCTAGCTAACTTATCTTCTGCTTTTCGTAACCACAATAAAAATGTTTCTGATGTTTGAGAATATTTTCTGCAATGCTCCATGCAGGTTTGAAGGCGCGAGTGCCTCTCAGATACCTCTCTACGGAGTTTGTCCCAAAGTTGTTGTATTCGTTCCAAATCACGTTTTATTGTTAAGTGTTGTTGACGATCAGACAATTCTTTTCCTTTGTTCATAAGCATGATAACTTCGTGCTCGCGGGACATTACTTCACGATAAATAGGTTCATGTGCGTCAATTTGATGTTGTAAAGTAGGTTTATGTGCAGATAACAGTAGTTTTTCAGACAAGTTTGACAACTCGCCTGACAACCAGCCTAGCATTTTTGTACAAGTTTCTGAAAGATGGCGACTGTCTCTTAATGACGCTTCAGTTTCTGCTTTTTTTGTATCCAACTTTCTTTGCAATGTCTGATATTGTTTCTCTAACGCAGATACTCTTGAATTTACATCAGCCCGCGAAGCAGAGTCGCCTAGAATATTACAAAGTAATACAGCTGATTGTTCAGCGTCAGCAAGCAGTGACCTTTGACCCTCTAGTTGACGATCCAGGTGTTCGATTTTTCGCAAATTTTCCTGATGGTCGCCATCTGTAGGTAAATCGTCTAAATTGTCACTAATATTCTGTAGGGATTCTCGTAATCTATTAACGGCTGCGTCAAATTCCTTGCTGCTATCAGCAGCTCCTCCCAAATTATTGGCGCGTTCATCCAAACGCGATACTATGTCGTCCCACTTACTTATTACATCATTGAGTTTTTGCTTCACTTTTGTTATTTCAGAAGGATTTGTTAAGTGATTCAAAATATCATGACCAATTTCCTGAAAGTGATTCAGTTGAGGTTGCTGAATTCTAAATTCTTCTCTGAGAACTTGTACTTGCTGAACTTGACTTTGAACCATTCTTGAGTCAGTGGAAATAGGACCGAGGACAGTTAAAATTCTTTCTTTACTGTGCAACCAGTTTGACAAATTATTGTGTATATCTAAAAAGTCACGTAGCTTTTCTGAAAATTCTATCCGACTTTTGCAAACGTCGTTTAAGCTCTTCCATTTCTCAATAATGCAATCACTTTCTTGTCGTAACTGATCTGCACCTGCTACATCAGATTTTCTTCGAAGGATATCTTTAATTTGTACCTTGGTGGTATCCAATAGACTCTGTTTTTCATACATATCTTCTAGAACTTTTCTTATTTGCTTAATACAGTGCTCAGCCTCATCTTTATTTGATGCTGACTCTCTCGGGACTTGCCGTTGAATACGTTCCAGAAACGATGATAAGTTTTTTAGATTTTCATACTGCTTTCGCACTTCTTCAGTCATATTTTCGATCTCGGTTTGACGATCTGCCAAACGAACACCAATCAAACTATAACGATTATTAATCTCTTTTAATTGCTGTTGAACTGGAGAGAACTCAGAAATTTGAAAACCATCTTGAGATGATCTGCGGCTTCCAAATCCACCAGAGGCAGTGGACAAAGGCGACAAAAGACCTCCTTTAGTTGGGCTTAAACCTCTGCCATCTCTAGGAGTAGCGCGCATTGGACTGAGTCGTTTAGCTGTACTATGAGTTAATATCTTACGACTTGGGCTTTCCGGGTTAAAAAGTGCATTATACTCGGCTCCAACATCATTAATTTTGTCAATGTGGTCACTAAAATCTCCATATTTATGTAAAAGCGGCTTAAGCTCATCGTGTTGTTGCTGAATTACTTTCAAATCAATAGCTACCGGACTCATTTTGCTTATGAGGACTTCCAATTCAGCTAACCATGCCATTACGTTTTCTTTCATGGTTTCATACTTTACTTTCTGTTCGGCTTTTAGTTTCACAAGTTTTGATTTCTCATCCAAAGAAGTATTTATATTGCGCCACAAGTTTTCCAATGACTTAATTCGATCACGTAGCGGATTAGTATCAGTAACATCTCTTTGTCCTATTAAATCTTTACAGTTACTGACACAGTTTTCATACAAAGAGACTTTACTCTCCTTTAGTCGTATTGCTTCTTCTGAACGAGATAGAAGTAAGTCTATTGGCAAGTTAATTGCATCGAGATTATTTATAATTTCTTGCAAATTATATAAATCACGTTCAGTGGAAGCTACTTCATCTAAACATTTTTGCAAATGACCATATACAGCATCCAAAAATTCCCCTCGTTTGTGCAATTTTTCCAACAGTTTATCCACTTTTTCAGATACTGTTCTTAAATTGGATTCAACTTTTTTAGCAATGCGCGCATTGGATGCGGAGTCCATCAGATGTTTTGCGGATGTTTGTACACCACTTATGCTTGTCTGATGTGAATTAACATCTGCCAATAAAGTTTTATGCTCACGTATTTGCTCTTGCAATCGTTCTTTGATAAGAGATGCAGGTCGAAACTGCAATTTAAATTTATCCTCAGCTTTATCCACCCAAAGAACCAAATTCTCGAGTGCATCTTGAACACTTTGCGATTGTACCAACGTTTTATCAAGTACCTTGCAATGTTCACCAAGTGTTTCAAGTAGTTTTTGGTATTTACTTTTCAATTCAAGCGCAGGCTTTTCCAAAATTTTAGATTCATATGGACTCAGTTGGCTTCCCAATAATTTTATTAAATCGTCTAAAGCCTGATCAACATTATCTATTAAACGGCCATTTGATAATAATTCACTGTGAACGGCTTTTGCTTCATTCATTTGCTCGAAAGCAACTTTTGTATCTCCTGAAATTGGTTCAGCAATGAGACGTGCTACTCGAGGTTTTACAGTGCGGATCCATTCGTTTGCTTTGTCGATAGCATTTAGAAATTCTCGTTGGCGTCCAGTTAAATCAGCTATTCGATCTTGAAGTGTATTTGTACGATGTAGCAAATCCTTATACTGAGTGGATATCAACGAAATTTCTTGGCGAATAGGACTCTCCGCATTTGATATTGGCTCAATGTGCGGTAATCGTTCTGGCATAGCTGTACGAAAATCATTTAGAATCGTTAGGAACTCCTTGCTTCCGTCCAAGAAGCGTTGTGCCGACATAGTTACAAACCGTAGATCTGCTTGATGGCTTATAACATCGCTAGCAAACTCTCGTATAGAGTCAGCATGTGAAGCTAGATTCTTTAAGTCGGCTATTGACTGTTCTTTATCTTCAAGCCTATGCCGAGCTTCTTGTAACCAGCTAAAGAAAATACTAAGTTCTCCAGATAATTTAGTAAGTTCATCGCGAATAGATTCAAGCCGCCGCAACAATCGCAAGGTTCGATCACTGACACGATCAACACGTGAACGCAACTCTCTTCCAGCATTCTCTAGAGTTGACACCTCAGGAGCAGAGAGAACATCTGCTCCGGTTAAAACAATTTGACGAATTTGTTCCAAACATGTGGAAACTGGTCGCTGCTGGCCATCAATTTCTTCTTTAATTTGCTATTCAAAAAGAAATATAGAGGATACAGTTTAAGTCAAAATGTGCATAGTACATAATATAACCAATTTATTATGAGGCCATACCCTTAAAATATTTGTTTGGTTTCGGATTTCATCAACTTTTTCCTTAGGTCCACCAACATTAGAAATTTTGTATTCAATTGCGCTGACCCATTTCAGCAACTCGTTTACATATTCCTCACAAATGTTGAATTTTTCAAAAACGGCTTGCTAAATGATAATAAAAACGGTACGAAATATTAGAAAAATATTTAGGTGTTTGATCGCATATACATCAACAATAATTACGTTAGGTAAAGTAAAGTAAATCGAACTAAAAATATTATTGCTGAATCTTAAAAATAAATATGTTAATAATGCCCACTAAAAACATTGGAGCACTTGGGAAAGAGTTTCGGTACAAAGGAGAGTTAACTTACAATCAGAAGTTAACTGACTTTTTTTCAGTTACAAAAATTTTGAATTAATATGTTAATAATGCCCACTAAAAACATTGGAGCACTTGGGAAAGAGTTTCGGTACAAAGGAGAGTTAATTTACATTCAGAAGTTAACTGACATCTTTTCAGTTACAAAAATTTTGAATTAATTACCGAATTTGAGTTAACTCTTCACTGTAAAAATACGGACATTTTTTACACTTACAAATTCTTAATTCTTATGTACAATATACTTAGGGCCTTTCTACATTTTACTTAATATATTTGTATTAGCTAATTTAATATATTACTTGGTCGATGTTCCACGTAATGTTTGGAAACATATTATAACTATTATTTAGATATTTAAATCAAAAACAAACCTCGAACACAATCGCGTAAAGAAAGCATACCTTAGTCAAATATGTATAGTCATTAATAAATAATACATTTATGTATGTGTGTATACACATACATTTATACGCAGCCATGCAAATCTACATATATGTACAAATTGTATGAGATAAGTAGTAAAAACCAAAGCCACCCACGAACTATGAAAATGGTCAAAATGCAAAAATAATGATTTTTTATTATACGATTAAAAAGTTAATATATGGTTAGGTTAAATAAGCTGACGGATATCTAGAGAATATAAATCTGAAAAAATATTTAGCTGAAAATATAAAAATATAAGATTTTATAAATTCAAAAATAAAACAGCATTTTAACATTTCACAACTTACCGAAGCAACATTTTACTTTCAAACATAATAATAAAATTGTATCAAATATTACATAGTTACATCCCGAGCTAATAAAAGGAAGGTAATAATAATAAAAAGCATATGCATACATGCACGTGTACATATGTATAATAAGCTTATAATTTCGTATCAACTATTTATTATTTTGTGATTTTAGGCAACTGACGATTACTACATGAGATACTTCCACAAATTGTATTATGGCATTAGGAAAAAGACTGGCTTCAAGATTGAATCGATTCTTCTCACAATCTAAACATTTTAGGATATACTACCTGTCTGAGTCAAATAGCAGTTAATTACACGGCCCAACAGTGGCTACATAACACGAACAAACGATACATATGTATATATTATGAAAGAGAACGTCTGCCTGACTAACCTTGTCGAAGATAGTACTAGTCCAAAGTGTCTGAGTTTTTTTTTGCGGAGCTTTAAAATTTTGAATATTATGCATAAAACGACTTCAAATATACATAATTTAGTTTCTGACTTCGAAGAGTAAAATTTAGCAAGTAATTTTTATGTAGAAAAATTTAACCCTCTAACTCTTACATGTTAGACAGTTAAAAGTCACAGAAAAAGCTTTATATTGTTCTGAAAAAAGCAAAACATTTTACTAAGGGTTACCGAAGATTAAACCGTTATCCGACTAAACGTAGATGCACTATAAGTATGTATCTTCATTCGGGGTATTATCTTTATTAATGTAAATATTTAAGTAGAGCATTTCGTTTACTTGGGGACCAGCATTAAAATCCATTAATGTCGCCGTCAAAATCCACCGCATCCAACTTTTGCCAACAAGTACTATTTTGGACTGAGTAGGCAATTCAGAAGTAAAGTCCTCTCTCGACGTATGGAAAACACACGAGGCGTGGACAATGAACAACGGCATGGACATAGTGCAGCGATTTAAAATACAGCGGCTTCACTGGCTTTTCCATGTCAATCCAATGGACACCGATGCTCTAGCTCTGAAACTCAGAACCCGCTGTTGGTAGCAGAGGAAGAGGGAGGCCTCCACTGCGATGGAAGACCAAGTGGAGAAAGACTTGGATTCACTTGGCATTTCCAGTTGGCATCAGTTGCCACATCAGAGAAGCGACTGGCATGCTTTCTTGAACTCGGCCAAAATCGCTTAGGCGGTTACAGCGACAAATTAGAAGAATGTAAATATGTGCGTGAAAATCACGAAATAGTGCATAAATTGACTAGTTGTCTTCAAATGTCTGTATGAGAAATTAGCAGGCAATTCTTTCGTAAGACTTTTTAATTTATTTTTACCCTTATTGCAGTGGTAGTTAGAAGGTTAGAAAGTTCCTCAAAAATATGGACGAGATTTTATTAAAAGTCACCATAGAAACCAAAACCCAATCATTATAAATTAAGGATGGATCCAGGGCTTTAAAAAAATACAATAGTCTAATATTAACAAATGTATATGTATTTCTCAGTAAAATTTATGTACATAATATTTATATCTAAAAATTATTCATATGTACATACAGGATGTTTTAATTACCATATTAATCAATGTAAAATAAACGAATTTTTTCTAAATGATTTCGTTTGCGTACATCGAGTACCTTACCCTGAAATACACCCGAAACAAAACTTGTTGCAGGTTGAAGGTGAGTCAAGTACAAGGTTAAAAAAAGTTTATTTTAGCTCCGGAACCCTCCAGTTTCTTTTTATTAAAAACTGTTATTTTCGTACTTGATTCACTTACATTAGGGAGCCAAAATGAGTACATTGTGATTTTTGTTAAATATTTTCAAGGCTAAATTAAAATTTGTTTGTTCTTTTTAACCGACTTCACAAAAAGGAGGATGGTTATCAATTAGTCGGAATATATATATATATTTTTTTTATGTATGTTACTGCATAACTTTGGACCACGTTTACCGATTTCTATAATTCTTTTTTTAAAGGAAAGATGTTATCTCACAGGTCCCATTCTAATTTGGTTCAAATCCGATCATTGGATCATGAAGAGATCAACGATAATGTTAAATTTTTATATGAGAAATTGAAGTCGGTTTTTTTTTTGCTTAAAAATTACTTGTATTGTTTCAAAAAGAATTTTTTTTTAATTTCATTTGATTTTTAGGAACGTATTTTTTTCTTTTTTAATCTATATTCTAATTTTTAGTTAAATTTCCTTTAATTTTTAGATTTTATTATTTGAAAAAGAAAAATATTTTTTAATTTAATTTAATTTTTAACCGACTTCACAAAAAGGAGAAGGTTATTAATTCGTCGGAATATTTTTTTTATGTATGTTACCGCATAACTTTGGACCACATTAACCGATTTCTATAATTCTTTTTGTTTTTGTTATTTTATGGCCTTATAACTATTATATTCAAGAATTTTTTATTGAGCTCGAGGCCGTTTTTAATGAAAAACTTATTGTGGAAAAGCAACAATAATTTGAAAAAAAGGTAGAAGTGATAGCTATTTCGGAAATCACCACATTTCCTCATCAGACTTCTTTCAGTAGGATTCGAACCGACGATCCCACTAACTCAGCCAGTTGCCTACGCACTGTGCTAAGTTAGCCTTGTAAATTATGGTTGCTTTTTCCTCACTTTTTCATTTACTAAGCCAACACAATCAAGCGCAGCTATTCCGCTACGATTTACACTTGATCATCAGACTTCTTTCAGTAGGATTCGAACCGACGATCCCACTGACTCAGCCAGTTGCCTACGCACTGTGCTAAGTTAGCCTTGTAAATTATCGTTGCTTTTTCCTCACTTTTTCATTTGCTAAGCCAACACAATCAAGCGCAGCTATTCCGCTACGATTTACACTTGATCATGTGGTTGTTGGTTTTGGTTAATAATTCTATTTTTAGAATGTTTAACTTTTAGGTGTGCTCGTCCTTAAGTTATTTGTTTTTGTTATTTTATGGCCTTATAACAATTATATTCAACGCTTTTTTATTGAGCTCGAGGCCGTTTTTAATGAAAAACTTATTGTGGAAAAGCAACAATAACGTGAAAAAATGGTAGAAGTAGAAGTGTTATAGACAAGAAGTCTTCTTAATTCAAAAAATACTCAAACAAATTTTCTATGTTCTTGATGAAAATTCGTTAGGACAGTGAACTTCCTCAGTCTAATTAGAAGATGTGGTGATCTCCGAAATAGCAGAAGTGACCATCAAGTCAAGGTGCATGAATGGAATTTTCATGGATAGTAGTCGAGAGTTCTAGCTTTAATTCAAGCCCAAGTGGAAGGCTCTATCACCTTTTATTTATTTTGAAAACCGCGATTTTTTGACACTTTGACCACGTTTTTCTCAAAATCGAAAGCTGATGGAAACTTTATATTTACAGATTCACAATCAGCATGAAAAAGTCTATCGAAAACAGCTTTATCATTTTAGGATAAATTTTTTTTCAAACTTTTGTAGTAGTAGTCGAGAGTTCTAGCTTTAGTTTAAGCCCAAGTGGAAAGTTCTATCACCTTTTGTTTTTTTGCTAGAGCTTTTCAAATATTGCCAAAAAACGCAATTTTTTGCTCAAAATCGAAAGCTGATGGAAACTTTATACTTACAGATTAGCAATCAGCACAAAAAAGTCCATCGAAAAAAGCTTTAGCATTTTAGGATACAGAATTTTTTTAAATTTTTGTTGGCCTGTGTATTATTTAAATTAGTAAAAGTGGCCATAGAAAAAAAAACACCCGACGGATTTTGCTCTCTTTTTTTTGGAAAATGTTCAGTGAGGTCCGCCGAAATAGTAGCAACAGGAATCGGCGAAGGGAAGCAACTTGAGGGTTGAAATTGTTTCCAGTTTACTAAGAAAGATAGTAGCAACAATTTCTATTTTTTCCCCAATTAAAATTTTTTATTTCATTATTTTTGTAATCACATGGCACACTTTGATTTACATAAAAAAATCAGAACAGTTTTTGATACTTTAAATACCAGAAGAAACAACAAAATACACGTAAATGTTGTTTTTAGAGTTCAACCGATTAATCGGCCAACGCCGAGGCTAGTCTCGGCCAAAAGA